AGGTGCTGGAAGGTCTCCCCGGAGCCTTCTCTTCTCCAGGCTGCACACCCCCAGCTCTCTCAGCCATATCATCTCATGAAAGGTGAGGTCCTCAGCAGTCTCGTACGACGATACCTCAGTGTGGTCCTCACCGGTCTAGCACCAAGCTCGGAGCTGCAGAGAGCCCAGGTACCGCTGCAATTCCCAGCCCTCAAAGGCTACACCCATCCTAGAGCCGAGGACGCCGAAATCAGCTCTGCTGGGACGCTGCCAGGGGGACTCTCCATTGTTCCCCACCCTGCCAAGGATGTCTCGCCAATATCGAAACCATTATAAAAACTCTACTGAGGATATTATAGGCGGAGCTGGTAGCAGCACGTAATTAAGGTTGCCTCGCACGTTCCATTATAAGCCTCAGTTTGCTCTTATTTATAGTTTTCCCAAGCTTTAGCTGGTCAGAATGAAGTTTTCCATATGGTACGTCTGCCTTGAGTTGAACTTTTTGGAAAGTTTCAGCAAAAATGTATCGGTTATAGCTGAGGATAAGTTTAGGGGAAATATGGTGTTTTGCCCATTTCTAGAGAAATTTCTCATGGACTTCGCTGAGAACTTTAGCGATTCTCACGTTGATCCAGGGATTTGAAATTTGCCTGGAAAGTTCCATTTGCTCAGAGATTATTTCAAAAACTATTGTGCATACTTGCTTACTAGACACTTCCTAAAGACACCACCTAAGTTGGTTGATTGTTCATTCTACAACATGCAAGAGCAATGATTTTAAATTGCCAAATATCTTCCATGGGAAACTAGGGGGGGGAAATTAAATTTTTCCCTATGAAAAGTACAGGTGCTTTGACAAAATAGAAAACCAAGTCATAAAACAGCATAAAATTTATTTCAATGACTATACCGAGGTTCCCCTATAGAAAGTCAGTGTTGTAAAATAAACAGAACCAAAAATTGAGCCCCTCCCAAATGTAACCAGGCATCATTTATAATTTTAAAATGCTGGGTTTGGGTTTTTTGGTTATTTTTTCTTCTTCTAATTGAAAGGAGACTTCATTTGAGCTAAAATGAAGGTTTCCCACAAAAAAAAAAAAAAAAAAAAAAGCATTTCCAGAGCATTTGCTGTTTATTGAAAACTATTTCCAGAGAAATTATATCTAATGCATATATTTGTATATATTTATATTTACAGATAAATTATATCTCATCTATCTATCTCTACCTTGACCCCTAAGGAGAGCAGGTTGATATTCCAATGGAGAGGAGAACACGATGACGACACCAAAGAGCACATTGGCGTGTGCAAGGTGACCTCTCTAGCGATGAGACTGCACGAAGCCAGCCGTGCCCGTCAGCCCACCGCGCACTCAGCAGGCGCCGTGGTACTTACGCTGCCCGCAGTACGTCCCCGTGTAGCCCTTCTGGCAGAGGCAGGACTCCTCGCTGCAGCTCCCACCGTTCATGCACCTCACGTTGCAGGTTTGGACTGCGGAGAAAAACAGGGAAATATTACACAAGGCAACAAATTCTCTGTGCCAGGAGGTCAACACCTCACACGTATGGATGCTCAAAATCACTATTTATGTTCTTGATCTCTTCTTGTCTCAGCGCAGAGTCTAAGCGTCCAGGTCCTTAAGTTAAAGGACTGCTGACGTCCCATGGTAGGACACGAGCCCATGGTGTGGTTGAACTTTTACTGAGGTGTAATTACTCCAAAGTTGCGTACAAAAGTAAATACCATGGGCTGTCCTTCACTCCCTAGACGTAAGCCATGTTCATTGTTCTGTACCCATCATTGAACTGTTCCGATGGGACAAAGCCTGGGGTGAAACCAGGAGCAATTTACGGGACGTGATTCTTCACGTCCATCTCATACGATCCAGGTATCATCGCTCTCCTACGGCCAACAGTTTTTTAGAGTAATATAAACAGACCGCGTCCCACAGCAGCCAAAGGCACTCATCATTACGGGATCTACCCCCATGGAACATCTGCAGCTTTGTCCTTGCCAGAGGAGGTCCTGCTCGCGTCACCGAGGGTAAGGGCATAGTTCCCAACACCTTCCTTTCTTTGATAACTCTGTCATTTAAACAACTCCTTCTTTTAGGACATTACACTCGCTAAATCTTTTTATTATCCTTTTAGATTATTGCTCCATTTTTAAAACCTGCTTTTCACATCCTGAGCTGCCTAATCTTTAAAATGCCTTTAAAAGACCGATGAGATGTTTGGGGGGATAGAATTTCTTTGGTGGAGGAAAATCATCAACTTTTAAGATACTTCTCTTCCTCTTACAATGACTCTGTGGCCTTACGGGTGAGATCCATTTAATACAAGAGGGTTTTTTAAGGAAATCTGAACAGAAAAGCATCTATTCTTCTTTCTGTGCCAGAGTCCAGCTTTCCCACCAGGCTGTGACACTCAACGTGACCAATGCACTGTGGGGAAACAATAGCAATAAATGAGCGTCGGGAAGTTTTATATCAATGTAGACACAAAGCCAGTCTTGGTTTTAACTGTTTCATCACCATCCAATGTTTAAGGAATGTGATATTAAAGTAGAAGCGCCCAAAAAAGGAGGTTTATGGCTAAGCATTGAGTTACACGCACAGGTCAAGCAGCTTCCGTCCTTTCCCGAAACGCCTGGAACGACGCATTCCTCCTTTGTAAGATGCGACAACTCAAATTGCAAGCGCCTGAGGTTAGAGCAAGCTACGTGAAAAACTGATTTTATTTTTTTTTTTTCAGCATCTACACTACAGTTCACGTCTGCCAGGGGTAGGAGGGGCCGTGACTTGGCAGCTTGCAGAAGGTGGGGCTGGAGAGTGCGGCTGGGGGCGGATGCTCAGCTGGGGCTCGTGGCTTCGCCGTGCACTCACCAGCAGCTCCAAGCAGGGAAGAGCTGGGACCAGTGCAAGTGAAATGTCTGGCCAAAAGGTAGTAGGATGCAGAAGTGGCCAATAGGGATAATTCCAGGGGTAGGAGGGGCCGTGACTTGGCAGCTTGCAGAAGGTGGGGCTGGAGAGTGCGGCTGGGGGCGGATGCTCAGCTGGGGCTCGTGGCTTCGCCGTGCACTCACCAGCAGCTCCAAGCAGGGAAGAGCTGGGACCAGTGCAAGTGAAATGTCTGGCCAAAAGGTAGTAGGATGCAGAAGTGGCCAATAGGGATAATTATATGGTTGACGCCTTGTTCATAAGAAGCCCGAAAGGAAGGAGGAGTGGAAAGGGAAGTCTCGGAGCTTTGCATTGAAAAATGCTCGGCACATGTGCTGTACATTTAATCCATGCATTGCTCGGGTGGTTTGAATTAGTCATGATGTCTACTGTTCTTCCTCTCACTCTATGGCCAGAGATCAGGCCAAATTTAGATGAAAGCTTCATCATTAAGGAAACGAAGCTAGAGGCTTCAAAGCATTGCCCGGATTGTCAGACATGAGACCAGTCTCTCTGGGAAAAGGCAGTTTCCAGCACATGCTTACCCTACACCCCTCACGACAATTAATCAGCCCTGGGAAAGCAATTACACAGAGCAGATCTGGGAGGGCTGCCCAGAGACAGAGGTAGCTCGGAAGTGTCTGTCTGTCCGAGCTGTCCGTCTGTCAGAGCGCTTCCCTCGACAGCATCCCGGCTCCTCGCCTTCAACGCCTTCACCAAGGGGTAAGGCTTAGAGAAAGCGAGAAATTTTGGGAGGTCATGGTCTGGCCATAAGAAGAGCCCTGATGTTCATCCAGAAACTTTCCAACTAATTGGCAAAAACTCTGAACAGACCCGCCAGAGCAGGTCCCACTTCTTGCTTCTGCCAGGATCCCCAAAGCCCTGAGGTCCCATCACCATCTGACTCATCTCAAGTCCGGCACTGGGAGAACCCCCTGCAGATCTGGAGTGCAGAAGAACATATTTGAACCAAGAGCTTAAAGGCCTGTTACAATTTGTCAGGATTTTCCAAGGTAGCAGAGAGCAAAGTTCTAGGAAAAAGAGAATGACAGCTCGCCCTAGTTAACTTTTCCCATGATCGGATTGGATCGGATTAGTTCTACAATTTATTTTAAAGGATCAGCAGCTGCAGCTGTTCTGCCAGCCATCAGCAGCGGACTTTGCAGGCAGGTTTTCTGTCTGCTTACCGACTACTACTATCTAAACAGTCACTTGCAAATTACTCTTAAAATATCTTTACTCCCCAAAGTAGGAAACCAAGTTTTTGGTTTGTTTTTTTTGTTATGACAGAGAGAGGCAGAGTGGCTTTTATTGCCTCTGGAATGCACAGTTTGTCTGCTTTACCTCCCTGAAGCCTTCATGATAAATGCAGGTCCAAACATCCCTGCAATGAATGCCAGATTTGCCGAAACCCCTGCAGAGAAACCTACCCCCACCCC